GTGTGCACCCCCTATCTGAAAGTCTCTACTGTAACCAAAAAATAAAAAAAAAAATAAAAAAAATAAATGTCCACATTGAGTATTTCACATTGAGTTTTTATAACCCTGTTTTTAAAACATTGGAGGGATAGTTTGAACTGTTTGATTTCCAAGTCCTAAGAAAAAATCAAAGTTTTTGAAAGTACTGATTGATTGAAATTTTACAAATTATGAAAAATGAATCATAAATATTTTCCTTTGAGCAATCATTTTTAGGGGCTTAATCAATTTGAATAAGCTCATTCTATAAAGTTCCTTCATTCACAGGCAGCAGAGTCCCAAAGTGACCTTCAGTTTTTCTTAAGGTTAAATATGTTATTTTTAGATAAATCGTTTCATATAATTGTCAAATAAAAAAAAATGAGGTTAAGAAAATGAAATTTGTTTACAATAAAATACATAAACAATATAAGGTCGTTGACTTCAAACCACTTGCCCCTCACTGCTGTGGATTCGAATTCTGACTGAGACTTTGGATGCTTTCATGTGAGGAAGCTATCCAGCTAGCCAGCTTGCTTATGGAACATTAGTGGTTCTACCCAGGTGCCCATTCGTGCCTGAAATAATCCTGGTAGGGCACATAAGGTCTTCCTCCACCAATAAAGCTGGAACATCGCCATATGACCTATACTGTGTCAGTGTGACGTAAAACCCAATCAAACAAACAAACAAACCAACAAACATAAACATCAATACCTCAAATCTACAGGTCTAATTTAAATTAGTAAAGAGGACAAATCCTTTCGCGTTCTCTATTTTTAGAAACGAACATCATTGACGCATAATATTAATAGCTCTTGGAGTGCTGTTTTAACCCATTACTGCATGAGCATTTTGTAAAAAATGGCTGTTTTTTATTAAAAAGCCTCCTGTTACAAGTTCAAACTCTATAACACTATAACAAATGCTTCAATACTGATGAAACTTGGCACAAATGTTGACTGGACCATAGCCTTTGTAACAGCATGCTCAAGGTTTTTCCTGTTACCATGGCAACAGGGGAACATCTCAAAATTGCCAAAAATCACTATTTTGCGTTGTTTTTTACCATCAAAGTGCTGCAACTTCTCAATGGATTGAGATAGAGTCAAAGGCTTTTCAGCATTGGTTACATGTTACCTTAAGATTGACCTGAGGTCAGTTTTAACACCTCATAAGTCCAAAATTTTCTTGTCAATGAGAGGGCTAATGCCTCCTTCAAACCCCCAAACAGAAGGGGGCACATCCCCCCTCTGGCATCCCCTTGATGTATCTTTTTGTTAGGGGGCGGCACCGAAAAAAGTGATCACTTCATTTACAACATTTCTCAAACAAAAGACAGTTTGTGGGGCCTAAATAGGGCATTCTTGCACTATTTGAGGCCTCAAAAAGGGGGGGGGGCGGGGTAAAAAGACGTCAAAACACGTCTATATGACTTATTGAAGGGTTAAAGAAGGCTTTGCACTAACATGATGCACTTTTCAAAGAAAAAAATAATGAAATACTTAGTTTGAAACAACACAGAATTGTTTTTCAAGCAGAAAATAAAAGCTGAAAGCTGCTTTAAATAATCATTAAATAAATAAAATAATACTCAAAAACACAAACTACCCAAAAAAATATCAACAATTGACTTTCAGATATGGGTTTTATTTGATTGATCATCGATCTTTTTATTTTTGGCGACATCATGAAGTTTAAAATCATACTGGAATTTTTATTTCTTTCAAAGAAATTATACATGTATTTATCTGTGACTTGTTAGTTTCATATATTTTGGCAGGAAATCAGAAAAGCTGAGTTTTATGTTTCCTAAAAATAGAAATGAGCTGTTAACATTTCTAAAAAATTAGATAGGTCAAAATATTTATGTACTTTTCGTTTCATATTGAGACTAACAAAAATTATTTAAAACCTGTCAATGTAGAAATGGGTTCTTTGATTTTTATTACAAGTAATGAATTCTTATCGATGATCAATATTTTTATGTCCCTCAAAGGTTTGAAATGTTTGCCGTGTGTGATAGTTTGTCTTTCAGAACATTCTACACTCTGACATTCTTTCATGGACATCAACAAGAACAAAAAGATTCAATATTATATTACATCCCTTCAGAGTGTACACCCCTTATCTGAAAGTCCCAGCAATAAACATCCAAAAATTGTAAATAAAAGTCAATTTCCACATTGAATATTTAAAGTTTTTAAAGTTGGAGTTGTTGCAATTTTCCAAGCCGGAAGATAAAATCAAAGTTGTTTAAAGTACTGATGTAATCAATTCAGTACATGTATATTGTTTACTTCAAAACTTGACATTGCAGTCTTTTTATTTTTGGCAACACTATAATAATGAAGTGTGAAATTACTGGAATTTTTAGTTCATTCAAAGTAATTGCTTTTATATCACTGAATTGTTAGTTTCACATATTTTGGCAGCAAATCAGTAATCAATATGTTGTTTCAGAGATCTGCCAAGAATTTGAAAGTACTGGGCCCTGGGCCCACTTGGTCTGAAAATGATGGGCCATTTTTACCAAAGTATGGGCCTTGGGAAAATAAGTAAACATTGACCAAAATAACTTTTAAAAAGTTTGTAGATAATTGAATTTCCCTGGTAATAAAACTTAAATCATATTTTATGACAAGTGGTTCACTTATAATTCAGTACTTAACCTATAATTAAAAATTATGCCTACATGGTAACTTTCTAACTAATATTAATTGCAGGCAAAATATTTTTTAAATGGCTGCTCAAAAATTTGATATACAAATTTATTCACATAATTGCTAGTTCTTACTTGTAATGTCCTATATTGTGCATTATCCATTTAATTGTTCATACTTTGCACCAAATGTCCCTTACCACTGTATATTGACGAATTTAATTGCCCCTTGTATGCCTCTGTGTAGACAGCATACATCAAAGACATTTGCCGACAGACCTTTTGATCATGAAAAAAGTCATGCACAATGTTTCTCTGATTGGTTAATCACCCTGTCAAATATTCTGATGACGAAATATACATCTTTTTTTACACTTCATCAGCCAAAACTTGCGTGAACTTGAGTGACCTTAGGGTTGATCAAGTTGAACAACTGTAACTTACAGCATTTCTTAAAATAGCAACACTTTTTTTTTCAGTTACCGATAATCATTTTAAATATTAAGTAGTTGTATAATTTGTTTGTTTGTTTTATTGGATTAAATTTACGGTAGTAGAAATGAGTATCTGTGTGGGAAAGGGTTTATGAGAAGAAATGCGGTAAGTAGATAACATGGACAAAAGCTATAGGGGAATGGATAAACTCAAGAATATGTGTAATTACAGGAGCATGGGTAGCATGTTGCTGTTGGTACCAGTTTTGACTGGATGACTAAATAACCCAGCAGACAGTTTTGTTTTCTTATAAGTCTGGCACAGATTATAGATGCGCCCATGGCCCTTTGCTGCCGATTTTCCTGCGCCATTCTCATTTTTTTAGCGCCAATGGCGCAAAATCGCGTCCTCGGCAGATCTCTGTTGTTTACTTTGCAATGATGATTTTTAAGTTTCAGATAAATTAGAAATGAGCTGTTCGTTTCAGAAATGAGCTGTTCGGGTATTTATCGGTCAAAATATTTATGTACTTTCGTTTCATGTTGTGTGTTACAAAATTATGATGAAATGTCAATACAGAAATAGGTGCTCACCAGAGCATGTCATGCTCCAGGTGACCTATTGTCATCATTCACTGTTTTGCGTCTGTCCATCTGTCCACACTTCTTTGAACACAGGGTCAATAATATCAGACCACAAGGTCAATAATATCAAAACTTTCAAGCAAAAATTCTACTGGCTAGGGTGATCTTCTTTAAAAGAAATCATTATATGCAGAACTATTGTTACCTTTGCCATTGAAAGAAAAATCATCTCCTGCTAAAGCTTAGATATTTGGCATGAAACGTTATGTAGTGGACCTCTACCAAGCTTGTTCAGATAAAAGCCCTGGGTCAAAATTAGCCCTGCCCTAGTAGGTTTTCCTTATATGTACATAGTGAATTACAAATGTATCTAAAAAACCCATCTCCTTTGAAATCATAAAGGCTAGAGCTTAGATATCTGGCATGAAACATTGCATAATGGACTATATGAATATATTCAAATAATAATTCAAATAATAATCCTGGGGTCAAAATTGGCCCTTCCTAGTTGTGTCATGGGTTTTCCTTGTATGTATATAGTATAATCTTTTAAAAATAACTTCTGTGAAACAGTAAAGGCATGAAACATCAACTGGTAGGGTTCTACCAAGCTTGCTCAAATTAAAGCCCTCAGGTCAAGTCGGCCCTGCTCTGGGGACCAGTTGCTTTGCTTATTTCTATGCATGTACATAATGTATGTGGTAAAATCTTTACTGTCAGAGTAAAAATAAGCTTTAATTGACATCTCCTCAGTCACTTGATAAATTTTGATGGAAGAGCTCTACAGATATGCGTTAAATTGCTGAAATAGTTTTAGTTTGCTAAACAAAAAGAGGTAAAAATATGCAAAATACTTAAAAAATTGTCATAACAGAGTAAGTCACGCAGTGGTGTTTACTGCAAAGTCAGTCATTAATCACACATAACATGTAATTAATAAATAAATCTTTTTACTTTCTAAAAATTTGAGAGCATTGTTCTCAAGTTACATGTAATTTTTCTTGAAATATTTTGGCTCATCTGGAGGCATACAGCTTTTAAACAGAAATAAGTCTTAAATGACATCTCCTCTACCTGGTGGATTATTTTGATAAAACTGAATTAAAAGGAATGCCTAGGTAATTAAATCTTGTCCATGAAGACTATATATATACCCTGGTGAGCGATATAGGGCCATGATGGCCCTCTTGTTTGTAGTTTATTTTGTACCTAGTTTCATAACTGTACTGTTTTACAAATGGGCAGACAGATTCATTCCTAACAGGGTATATTGATATAATATCATTTGTTTGTTGTTATAGGAAAGGTGAAGAGAACGCAGCCAGCCTGGTCCCCACCAGAGCCAAAGAGGAAACCAGCAAAACTGAAGTTGTACAACAGTCTTACAAGACAAAAGGTGAGAATATTTAAACTATAACCAGCTTCTTCTTGCAACAGAATATACCCATGTGACCAGTGTGGTCAGCTGACATATCCGTGCTGTCACGTACACTGTTTGCTTTTCAGTCATAACATATTTCCTAAAAAAGATTAATGATTTTGACTGTCTAGATTGAAAGATGGACAAGTCCATTGAAGATATTTAACACAGTATGGATTGAATATAACCCTTTTCCAAGCATTTATTCTGGCTATATGTAGAACAAAAGAAACACTGGTTAGGTCAAATTTTGACTGGTATATGATTGACTGATAACAATGAAGGAACAGTACATGTGTGATATCTCTCATTGGTACAGGCTCTACATATTAGTTAAATCCCATCCTAAGAAAAATCTTCTAGTTGGGCTAACCACTATTCCACAGAAATCTAAATTAGTAATAGTGAAATTGTATGTAAGATTAATTTATGTTTCTTGTTTAGGTAAAGGTTTTTCTTTGAAATTTCTTTTTTAAGCTATTTTATCAAAGAAACCATTTACAACATCTTTTCTTTTATGTAAAGGAAGAGTAATCCAACGAATATTTGGAAAATTAAGAATTTTATTAATAAAATACTGACCAGCAGTTTTTCTGGTACCAAGGGAGGTAACAAATCTAACTGCATTTGATTAATTCTGTAGGGGTTTTCTCTCTTAGATTGTAATAAGGAAGTGAAGGAAAAACAAAGCGGTGCTCCATTTTCAAATATTTTATTCAAGAAACACGTGTTTGGTACACAAATAATAAAAAAGATGTACTGTGTAGCACATGATTAGATATCACATTTTGTGGAAGTGGCAACTCATCCTCATTTATAACTCTTCATTTATTAATGAGCTGTGCCATGACAAAACCAACATAATGCTTTTGCGATCAGCATGGATCCAGACCAGCCTGCGCATCTGCGCAGTCTGATCAGGATCCATGCTGTTCGCTTACCAACCCTATTACATGTAGAGAAACTGATAGCGAACAGCATGAGTCCTGATCAGACAGGCTGGTCTGGATCCATGCTGGTGGCAAACCCATTATGTTGGTTTTGTCGTGACGCGGTTCATTAATCATTTACAAAAATCACCATCATTCACAACTATACACATTTATACACATTTATTCATATAAACAATTCCACATCAATTTTTGCAATATAAAACACATTTTCTATGTATTTATAATTGTATAATAATTATTTTTAACAATAATTAATTTTTATATGATTGTACAATATTATATTATAGTTTATACAATTTATTTGTTTATTAACTGATTTCTTTGATGTTGGTCGTGGCTAGATTTAGCATGTAGTTTGTAGTTGGCATTGTATATACAGTAACATGTATTATATACATTCGTGTCAGTAACAAGTTAATGAAATAACAGCCACGTGAGTTGTTTTTTCCTTCATAAATATGCATTCATACCAGTTAATCTGTACACAAAGTATACAATATTCATATGTTATTCATCAACATTTACATGTATATTTATAATTTCACATATAATATTTGCTGATATTCAATTTCATTTATTTCATCTAAGTGCAAATACGGTGGGTACAAAAATAAAAGACACAAATCTACACACAGTCTCACAGAAAACAGTGTTTATAGTACACACTTCACACTTAGCACTCAATAGTGTACTTACATATAAAATTTCACTGTTAAGTTTTAACATATATATTACATAACTCTCTGGTATGACACTACTCTCTGGTAAGAAAGGGAGAAAGGTTGGTTTTCGGGTAAAACTCCAGGGTTGTTTATAAGGATCAATACAGTATATTTACATGTATTTTTTTCTCTCAACTAAGATTTTTAAAGATAAAAGTTGCAAATAATGAAGAGTTTTTATTAAAATTGTTGAAAGTGATGATGAACACAAATGAAGTGGCTATTTTGTCAATCTAGCAGTCTGATGAATAAAAGAATTTTTTTTTGCTTACAACATAACTAAGCAAAATTCCTTTATATTGACATGGCACAATTCCAATTTTAATCTCCATTTTACACACTCTGCAGAGTAAGGATGAAATCAAAGGTAATATGTTGTTTTATATAACACATTAATTATCTACATGATAGAGTTTTTTTCAGCCCTTACAAAGGACATTTAGTATGACTAGAGTGGCCTCCCTTAGCAACATTGTAGTAAACTCCCACTAGTTAGAAACTGTCTGAAAAATGACATTACTGGGGCTTCTATAACACTTTTCATATCATTTTTACCTAAGCACCAGAATCTTAACCTCAATGTCTTGTCTATTTAAAAGTCTTGTCTGCACAGAGGTGATGTTTGAAGGAGATAAGGAGATATTTCATTCCCCGTTACATCCCTGTCTCAGTTCCATCATTTTTTTCTGGTAAAAATATGTATTGTTTTATTTTAGATTCAACAATGGCAAATAATGGCACTATGACTTCTTTAATGGCATGTTGTTGTTGTTTTTTTAGGTGGTAAAAGTATTTTACTCACATCCATCCCAGTACATGTATATAATGATACAGTACATGCTCAAAAGCTTTTATTGTCCTTTTTTATCACCTTTTGAATAATCTCAAACAAGTCTACACACTCTGTAGTAGTCCTATCTTTGAATCACGTACTTAAGACATATTAAGTTCAAAATTGATATAAAAATTATCGTGAAAGCGTGTGTTTTTGAATATGTCACATCACCGGATGATTTAAAGTCATATGCTTCTATAGCATAGTTTTCGGAATTTATATTTTTAGTTTTTTTCTCTTCTAACTCAGTGATAAAAGTCCGCGGCGGAGGTGCAAGGGTGTAACGTTGCGGCGTTTCCGTCGTTTTAGGTTGTTCAACGTTGGATATGGCTGGACACAAGAGCTGTTTGGGATCTTGAAGATATATATGTATTCCGAATACTTGAAACTTTTCATAGAACATACACTTTGGTAGCATACTGTTTTTGTACAAGAACTGAAAATATAAAATACAAAAGAATTACTTAATACCTTGACAATTTAAAAATGAAGACACAGAACTTTCAGTTGTTGACAAATATACCAGGGTACATGTTACTACTGAATTAAGAAAAGAATGATTTGTTGTAAAATCAAGTGTGATTACGAGTCTAGAAAAGAGTGACTGTCGACATGGTTTTATAAATTTGTTACTTTTACTTTTTCCTATTTTTGGAACATACAGGTTTTTCTTCCAAACAGTTATAATTGTCTTCTGCAAAGATATCTTCTTTGTTGTCTGAAGTGATCGATACTCTGTCAGTTTTAAGGACGTTAAAAAAGAAGTTTTACACAAAAGTATAAGATCAGTTGAGACATATTGCTTTGCCAATGGTTTTATCTATGGTGAAGTAAGTTGAGGAGAGTTGTAATTAAATTAGTGTGACATATTCCCAGAGCGAATGACCTATTGATGTCAGGAATATATGAAAAAACTTGCTTATATAAGCTTTATTTTTAAGCCTCAGCTTTTGATGGACTTTAAAAATAATCCTAATACATATATTTTAGTTTAAACATATTAATTTAAGCTATATAATGTGGTAAAAAGTTTGAGCATTTTTTTTTTTAAACATCTTCGTGGTTGCTTCCTGGAAGTAATCTTTTTTGGGACTTAGGATTCTTCCATATGAGGAAGCTATTCAGCTAGCATACGGAACATCAATGGTTATACTCGGATGCATGTTTGTACCTGAAATACTGCACATAAGAGCACAACCAGTAAAGTTTGAAAGCCGCCATATGACCTATACTTTGTTGGTGAACATAAAACCAACCTCCCCCCCATCCCTCGGACCAACCACCCCCCAAAAAAAACAACAACAAAAAAACAACAACAATAAACAAAAAAACAACCTGGAAGTATCCAGTACTGGTTTCATTTCAGGAAAAATTTTGATGTCCCAAATCAAGGGCTTGAGGGTTAAGACAAACATCTTAACTATAGTAAGGCAAAAAGCTCTTCTTTTCTTGGTTTAGTAGAGATATCACTTTAGTTACCTTTCTTGAATTATATAATAGTTACTGTTTCCCAATATGGAGATATGCTCCCAGACACAAAAATATCTGATACTATTAACAATCCATAACAAATTCAAGCCCTAAAATGTGAAGAAGTTTACAGACACCTGTGGAATGATATGTTAAATACTTCATGCAGATTCTTACCAAAAGACTATTGAAATTTAATCAAAGTTGAAACTCAATGACTGATAGTTAAAGTTGAAATTTTGCGTGAAGACTTATTGTATATAATTATGTTGGATATAAGTATTTGAAAGATACTTACAGGATATGTATTTGGAGTAAGGTGAAACCAACTTCGACCACCCTCGGAGTAAAGATTATTTGGCCGTCCCTGGAACACCCAGCCAAATGCTCCAAGGTTTCCTTCATTGTCGTACATGAGAAACAGCGGGTATATTTTCTCACAGGGCAGACTTTGCGACAGGTTCATAAAGTAATGGGTACCTGCAAAGTATATACAAACAATGATTACCAAATTATTATACATTGTTTTCTAAAATAAACATTATCAGGGGGTGCTGGGTCTGGGACTTATCTTACCACTTAACGTGACTTAACTGGTAGTTATTATAAAGCTGGACTATAAATGGACAGTGTTTGCTACCAGTATGAAAACAGGCCAGCATGCTCATCAACTTGATCAACATCTGTACCCCTGGCAGGAAACTCTGTAGAGTGATTAGGATTAAATTTTGGAAACTTAGCATAATTTATGTACTTTTTAGCATTATGTATTCTTTTATTTTGTCTTTCAAAATAGATTTTTATTTAAACATCATTTCTATTTAACACATTAATAATCAGCTCAGTTACCAAAATGCACTTGTCACGCTGTAGTTTGCCAGTTCACAGTGATTTCAATTAAAAATACTATAAATAAAATTGAAAAGTCAAAATGCAAAGAGTCTGGATGAGACGGCACATAATAAATTGATGTTCTTTTGTTGTTTTAATTACACCATGAAGATGTACTGGTTTCTTTGCTCTGGCATATGGTTAGTCATAGATAGTAATTATATTAGACTTGTAGTATAAGTTACAGTGACAATGGAATCCATGTCAGTGATGTTACACCCTCTGTATTATAATATTATCATGATCTGATCTGATTGCCAGGATAATGTAAGAATTTAAAACAAAAACATGTGTCAGAGATATCATATGATAGAGATAGCATGAACAAATGCACACAATTCTTAAAGAAATACCGTCCATGTAATATTGATAATTATACTATGTTTCATCATGGGCTTTTTTTTGTGTGTGCAAGATTTAGAATTTGGTTGGGAAAGAATTGAACAAGACAGTCAGCTATATTATGTGTAGACTGCCTAAAAATATTGATTTGTTGACAATTCTAAGATAAATAATTTGTATTTTTTTTTAAAATATTAAAGTGGTTGATGGATTAAGTATGTAATTGTCTCAGTTTATCCCCTTCAAAACAAGAGCAAATGATTGTTGGGATACTCAGTGACTATGATTATTGTTTAATATGAAGTTTGCAACTGAAACTGACATTGACTAGCCTTTGCTACCATTATGAACACAGGTCAGTCTGCACATCTGTGCTGTTGGATTGGGGTCTTTACTTTTGGATGGCCAATTTTAAATTTTCAACTTGATTTTCCCAAAATTATTAATGGACAACTCTTTCCCCTATGTTGCTGAGGGGTTGCCTCTATGGGTTGAGGTTTCAGAATTGCAGCTATTGTATATCCCTGCATGAACATACCAGGCCACAGGATTTGAACTACTGGAGTCTATCTATTTCTTAGCTTCAACAAGTGTAGTGGTTTTGACTCCTGGTGTTGCTTTAAGTTTGTAACACCTGAGGTTAGCCAAAATCATTTTTTCTGTGACCGAGATTATGTTGGTGTGCCGTAAAACCAAACAAAACACAAACTAATGGACAGTTTTATACATGAATGGAAGCTGAACAAGTCCATATAACACTTTCATAAAACACTGATTTTAATGGTGCCAGGTTAACATCACTGTTACAACATCAATATTAATTCTGACTCACTGTTGTTCATGTTAGTAGTATATTTTGTAACTGGTTTTAGTTCCGCTAACATTTTATATCTTTCACTGCATCAGCTCTTATATTAAAGAAAAACATAAAACGGCAATCAAGTTTGTTGTGAAAATGTTATCAAAATGTGATTAAAATCTCGTTAATTTTCCATGAAAACAAATAGAGACCAATAAAACCATATTTTCAAATTTTCTGCGAAACTGTCAAGTCTGGTTCTATGATATCAATATTCATCCAGTTAGCATAATATCATAAATATTATGACAGTCTATGTTTCCAAAAAATCCTGTATGTTTGAATTGGCCCATTGATAGATAGTAATAGATGCCAAATTTTTTATGCATATATTGTATAATCTTGACATTCCAGCTTAAGTAAAAGACATACTGTATTTATTGGTTGCTAATATTTGATTTCAGTCTGTTGAAACGCAGCACCAAAAATAATTCAATATGTGTTTTGTGTAATCTTTGTAAACAATTTTTTTTCTAGGTTAATATTTTTTTTCTCTCCTTTTTATTTCTATAAACATCCGGTATCAATGCCACTGATATACTGGCATTAAACCGTCTTCAGTATCACATAAATAAAATTCTTAGTCACAATTAAAACAACAACAACAAGTTCATTGTTGTGGACAATTACATTAAGTTGCATGTAATAGAAAATACTTTCACGTATATAAGAATACTTATAATTCCTTATGTTATGAGATGCAATTTTGTTTTTTCTTTGATTACATTTTTTCTAGGCAATCTTTGACACTATAGCTTTAAAAAAACGTATAAAAAAATGTTCATTATCTGGTAATTTTTTGCCTTCTCACCAGGAAAACATCTGCCAGAACTTCGTTTCTAATTGTTACATTCATACAAACATTGTTAGACTATACTCTCAGACCTTATGTAAACAGTTTGTAACACTTGGATTACCTTCATAAACAAAAGTTCCTGTTTTCACTCCCAGAAGACTGGAGTTCCCATTTTCTGCTGCATTTTTGTTTTACAATAATTGTTAAAATTGATAGAGCACATACACAGGCCTTGGTAAGTTGGAAAATCTCAAAACTGCTGTGAAATTATGGAATGGCTTTTTAACTGTGACCCTTGGGGTGTAAAAATGGCTGTTTATATTGTGGAAGAATTCTGTAGATGAAATCAAATAATTGTAGAGAGTTGTGAGGGAATGAAATTATATAGACGCCTTTCAAAATTACTAAAAATAGAACGCTGCATATCATTACTGACCACAGGTTATCTCTGGAGGCAGAAAGCTGTCTGCTAATAGCCAAAGTTCATATAACATTTAGTTAGAAAGGAGTCAACATATGCTTAAAAATAACCATGTCTTTGGATTTTACTCAGTTGAAAATGTCGGATTATGCTTCTAAGCTGTCAGCAACTGATTTAGTTGTTTATTTAGATAAACTAACCATTTCTGCAGACAAAACACTTCCAGATCCTTACGTAATTGACAAAAAGTCTTGGATAAATGATCCCAAATTATGGCCAGATATTGGCTACCCTGATATCTACAACTATTTTGTTCAAAGTAGCAATTACTACTCAAATGAGCAAATGAAATGCTACAAATCTATGGATGCCTACCAGTACTTTGTATGTGGACATGTTCAGCCAGTTCTGTTCTACGACACAGGGATTGAGGATTTTACTTATCTTATGGCTGAAGTGTTGCCAAGTCAGCGACAGGGTACAAAAAATACATTGTACAAGGCTTACCTCATATTGAGAAAAGATGGTCGGATCCACACAACCCATTGTACCTGTATGGCAGGGTATGTTCATAAGATTATAAATTTTTATTTATATGATTTATACCTATTTGTTTTATCTAAGCTCTAACACAAGGCCCATAAAAAAACATTTAGCTAGAATGTTCTGGCCAATCAGTAAGATTGACATGATTTTTGTTAATTCATCTGGAGTATTCAAAAAAGTCATATTCTTCAGTAACAGGTGTAATTTTTATGTAAACCTAATTATTTTCCTTTTATTTTACAGAGCTGGTAAAGCGTGTAGCCATGCAGCAGCCATAGCTTACAAGGTTGAGGCCGCTATCCGAATGGGTCTTAATGTCACTGCAAGCACGAGCTCACTTTGTAAATGGAATGATATGTCAAGGCGAAAGGCAGAACCAGCACCATTGTCGTGCATAGACTTCAAGAGGCCAAAATATGGAGATGATGTAAGGCAGCCCTTGACTAAATCTAGCACGAGTATTTCCACATGTGGCACTTTGGATTTCAATGCACTTAAGCGTATCCAGCCTAATGCCGCAATATTTACTCTTTTGGAAGTCAAGGTAGCACCACAGGTCCCGAAAACTATAAAAGATAGCATTAAATCGTTACAGTACAACAAAATGACACCAGATGAAATACTTTCTTCCTTGAGTGAACAGCTCTCCATTGAATTAGTTTCAAACTTGGAACAAATGACTGTTAAACAGTCACAAAGTTCGCTTTGGTCAATGCATAGAGAAGGGCGAGTCACCTCAAGTAGGATGCACCGTGTCTTCACTTTGCGAGACACAACAGAAAGATCGGCAATGGTTGATGAAATATTACATCATAAACGCTTTTCTACGTCAGCAACCAAATATGGTTTAGATATGGAGGCATTTGCCAGAAAAACCTACCAAAAATATCACACTATTCTTCATGACAATTTTTTGTGTTTAGAAAGTGGATTGGTGCTAAATAAAAAATATCCTCATTTGGGTTCCTCCCCTGATGGCATTGTGCAGTGTTCTTGTTGTGGAAAGGGATGTCTGGAAATTAAATGCTTGAAGACCTTCGAGAACGGAGTGCCGCAGCCAGACAGTTTAATAGCGAAATCAAATGCCGACTATCCTATAAATGAAAATTTCGAGCTCAAAAAGACACACAAGTTTTACACTCAAGTGCAAGGGCATTTGTTAATATGCAATTTAGAATACTGTGACTTATATTTGTGGAGTAAATCTTCCAGTGTTGGTGTAAGGGTATACAAAGATGATACCTTCATAGATAAAATGTTGAAAAAACTAACATTAGAGTACAAACGATATATTTTACCTGCTATTATTGAAAACATTAAATGAAAACAAGACCTGATTTTTGTAGTATGTTTATTTTTTACACATTCCATGTATACAATATTGCTTCAAACTAGCCTTTGACAATTGGGGAGAGTAAGTTATGTAAAGTCCCTATAATGGTTACTATGTCATCCAGTAGATGCACTTGGCAAAGAGGTATGTTGGACTCAAGAATGAGAAAAGTTCTCATTCGACCTATCACCCTCTCTACATGTATTCTAACATGAGAAAGTTTTCTCGATGTTTCGACGTCTTTTCCGCTCAGCTGTTTCTTACCCTTTGTAAAGGACGGAATTCTTAACACCACACCCTGTGATGCCATTTCCTCTGACAGAAGAAACCCTCTATCAGCCAAAACTTCATCTCCGTGCATAAGATTTTCCATAAACCCAGATTTTAATGTAATTTCCTTATCTGATACTCTTCCACCCCAACCAGATGAGAGAAAATTTATCGCTCCTGATGGCGATATAGATCGGGGTTGTAAATCAACTGAAAGATTAAATGAATTTTGTAAGCAGTCGACTTTTCTTCTTGTTGTCATAGTTAACATTGCTTAACAATGCTCTTGTTCTTTCCTCTTTATTTAATATAAAGAATAGAAGATAAACTTTTTCATTTTTTTGAAAGGCATTTTGAAAGGCTCTGTCTTAAAATTCTAATATTGCTTATTATTACTCTTTTTTTTTAATTAATCTCATTTAGTCATTATAAATGACACTGTGAAGTTCAAAAGGCAACTATCCAGCTTATGAAAGAGAAAGGCCTTGGTTGTTAGTCTTTCATTCTGTGCATTATTTCAGGCACAATCAGGCGCAGTCACTGAGTCAGGCACTTACTGTCCTTCTATAAAGCTAGGGGTTTTATACTTCCTCATAAGAAAGAGTCCAATAAGTCAAGTGTAGGAAATTAAAGACGCTGCACTTTTTTTTTAGTATTTTTTAGGTCTGTTGAATGTGCAGCGCTACCTGTCATAAATGACCACTTTTAAAAGAAACCAAAATACAATTAAAAAATAGGAAAACATTTATTCTGATTGAAGAAGAAATTGAAAAGTGTTGCCTTTAGGGATAGAGATGACGAAATGACCGAGAGAGAGAGAGAGGAGATTATAATGAAGCTATAATTATATAGTGAAGAGAGTGTAAGTGGCAGTGAAGCACTGGCTAAATTGGTGCGTCTGCTGAGAATATACCTGGACAACTGGTAGCTAAAGTGGACAGGTAATTTGTAACCACTAGCCATAATTGATGTAATTGGTAACCTGTGCTACATCTAATTGAGAATAATTACAGATAATGGCAGGTGTGAAGTAGAAGGTTCAGGTTTGTGGTCTGTATAAGAAGAGTTCAGCACAGTGACCAGTTAATTATAGAATACCATGATAAACTTTGAGGGCAAATTATGAAGCCGGTTTGTAAGTTTGTCCGCAATTTCAGTGATAGAATTGAAATAAATATTTGGACCAATTTTAAGATTAATTTCATTTGTTTAGCCTTTTAAATAATTACATTTGTTTAGCCTTTTAAAATGAAAAGTATATAATAATTAATTGGTCAATAGTTTTTTGTAAATTATGTAATCAGAAAGCTGCTGAAGCTGAATATCACTTGAATTTGAGGCTTCATAGAATCTCGGCATTATTAATCCGGTAGGATACAAATGTTAAACAGCATTTCAAGAGTAAATCAATATTTGATGAGAAAATGGATTTCAAATTTGCATATTGAAATATTCAATATCATATTAGCTAATTTAGCAACTCGTTTTAATAACAAAGTAGAAATGTTATTTTGATACTCTTGAAGTTTTGCAAAAAAAAAAGAAAAAAGAAAGGAAACATAAGTACTTGTCCAAATATTCCATTTGATATTTAATAACATTTAACGCTCAAATCCAAAGCACCAATGTCAAAGAGGAGTGCAGGAATCTACTTACCATAAAACTTAATTAAATTTTGAAAATTTTAGTAAACAAAAGCATTTTTTTGTAATCAAGTTGTTTACCAGAAACCTGGGATTGTTTATTCAAAGAATGGCAAGTGTTTCCTAAAAGTGATTAATAAAAAAAACTAAAAAAATTCAATATTTTTCAACAGGAGGTCTGTTTTTATAAAGTAAATACAAGAGTTTACAGCATGCACATCATTCTGATTATAGTAGATGTCAATACTTTAAGTTCTAATACTTTTATATTATAATATGCTTATGTAGGCTTTTGTTTTCAATCAGTCTATAAATAAATGAACATGACTGTGACACAGTTGTTGGCAGAATAATGAATTGGTTTTGTTGGATTGAGAAATTTAGCTGCTCTATTCTACAAAAAAACTATTCTGAATCATTTAATGCCATGAAGCATACTGTTTCAGTTTTATATTAAAATTTGACTCTTGTAATAATTGTATATATTCATAATGTCATCTGTTAGTGCTATGAGTATAGAGCTGGGCCTGCCTGCCCTTCAGAGTAGAATGATTTTTAACACCTTAATCTGCTGGAACTGAAAGGGAGTAGCCTTTGTCACCAGTATAAAACCACTGGCCAGTCGGCACTTCTTTGCATGTTGGAAGTGCATGTCTCGAATAAGGGTCTGTCTATACTCTTGGCTGACCAACTTAAAATTTTCATATTGATATCCCCAATAAATAATAGAGAGTTCCACAATTGGAAGCTGGACAAGTCCATTTTAGAAATTTAGCAGATTAAGGGTTTATATTTTGGGGCATGATTTAAAATCCTTGAAGCTTCTAATGGACTGTGCTTATTGTATGTCCACTTCATTTATGCAGCAGTGAGAACTGAGATTGGGTCCTAAATTTTGTAATAGGGCTTACAGGGAACTAATTCATTTGAGGTATATTTTGGTGGTGTCCAGTAGAAGCAGCAAGAACAAATTACCACATTAAAAGATATCAGTACAGTAACTGTTTTGCATTGTCGTTTTGGAACTCTGCTTTGTGATAATTACATTAAGTATTTGGTATGGTCATGTATTGTACAGGGTGGATAACTGGATATCAGAAAAAACAAGAAGTTTTATCATTTAGTTAACACTGTTGTACTTTATATTTTTTTCTGTAAACTGACCTAGATCTTTAATATACCAGAGATTGAGACCTAGAAAATAAAGGTTTTGCACTTACCCATCATAGGGAGACAATTTCCACGTCTCCACAAGGGAGATAAATGTCGCGTCTCTTTTGGAATGTGTAGGAAATCGTGTTCAGGATTAAAACCCATTTGTATGTATAGACCTCTGCCTGGTGTTACACCTTCATGAGGTATAGGACTACAGATGAGCCGTGGATGTTTGAAGTAAGCTGAAATACAGATCAGAATGATACACTATGTGTCTAATATAATTATACCAAAACATATTATATACCAAAAGTAGTTAAAATTGTATCAGTCACACTTTTTTTAGTCTTTTTGGAGTATGACAACAAAGATGTCAAACTGTTGACAAATTACCCTTGAAATAGAGTTGAGTATTTTCAGAGTTAGTGATAATTTTTATGTCTTGACATTTGCTCAAGTACTTTAAAAATTTTTTTTATCTGAAAGCTGTTGAAAAAACTACAATATCTGTTAAATCCAGCCTAAGCAGGATACTTTAGGAGGTAATAATGTTTAAATACCAATCAGAAAATAACAATTCTTCCTATTCAGTAAATTACAATGCTTTTAGTCAAACAAAGAACTAAATGCACTATTTTTTTGGTTGGTAATGATTAGTGTAATGGGGAGATTACGCAACATGCACTTTGATTTAGGGTCCCAGTCTATCGGATTACCCAACATGCACTTTGATTTAAGGAACCAGTTTATTGGATTACCAATCATGCACCCAAAACAAATTCTATCGTAGCTGGTACTCTTCAGACCAAAAATTTACCCCTTTCCAGTTTAATGCCCGACAGTTTTTGATTGATTGCAATAGATTGGTCTCATGATGATGATTATCATCATCATCATCAACAAGAACAACAATTGCTACTCAATCACCCCAATTAGTAATCATAATTTTGATTATCACCATAGCTGTCAATCATTAGTGACCATCACTATTATCATCATCATCATCATCATCATCATCATCATCATCATCATCATCATCATCATCATCATCATCATCATCATCAATAACGACATCCCAATCATCATTAACATCATCATAGTCACCATAGTCCATATATACATTAATTTAGTAAATATTCCACAAAAAGATAAAATGGGCCATTTTTCATTTTTTATTATTAAATAGCCATTCAGCATTTTTACCCCCGATTTTTAACTAAATTATTAAGTATATGAAAAACTAATTTTTACATTTAGCAATAAGGCAAGGAAATTTTTATGAAAAAGAAAAATGTGATGAAATGTTTCCCAATAGTCGAATTTCCCCGAAAGGGAATGCAGTGTAGCCCCTCTATTGGGTGCCCCCCAAAACTTTTTTTTGGTAGAAAAAATTTACCAAATTTTGGGGTTCCAAAAGTAAAAAAAATATGTAAGATGACATTTTCCCAATTAAAACTAATGATGTGCATTTAGAACTTGGGGAAAAGGGGGGAAAGTGAGAAAGTGTGGGACAAAGGGGCACTTTTCGCACGCTGGGACGAGGACAGGGAAAATCAGCAAATCTCATGGTCGGGACGCTTTATTCCACCGATGGAACAATTATGGACATGTGTGCCTCTGGATTTATGATCGCTGTGGTGCAAATTAAAACTTTCCTCTTCCTCTGTTCTCATCCGTGTTCGGAGAATGAGCGATTTTGTCAGAGAGAAAAATTAATCTTCCGTTATGTCATATTATCATCACAAAGACCATTTTTTCACCCATAATTATGTGTATGTGAATTTTTACTTATCATTCATAAACGATACTACCAAAAAAGGCAATTTTGTATTGTTTATTAAAATTGCCGTATAAATTTTGGTAAACTAAATTGAACTCATTAAACTTTTCTTGCAGTACAGCGATAATTGAAATTGTTTACAATTTGACCTTTAAAGGTTATTGCAAATGAGGCAAGATTTTATTTGTAAAATTAATGAATTTTTCTTGCCTTTATTTTATTCATGAATTATTTAATATTGCCTTTTCTAAAATAAGCGCACATTATTTTGTGACCTTATTAGAAGAATAGAGTTTAAGACTATTAGATACTGTAAATTGGGATTATTTTCTTTTTTCTGATTTCTACTGATGATAGTTTTGTCTATAGATTATTGTATTTTACTTTAGGACAAAAAAAATATTTGATTCTCAAGGATAGATTCTCTAGACTGACAGTGTATTATATAATTATTGACTGCCCTCCAAAAAATTTCATTGTTATATACAAACACTAAAACAATTTTAAGTATTTTCAGTTTTGAAAAAAAAGTCACTAATTGTAAAATAAAAACAAATTTTAAGAAATCTTACCTGTGACTGTATAATATAGGATTCCTTTGGCATCCCTGAGTCCTTTCAATACAGGAGGCATAATCTCAATGGGAGGTAAATCTATCGTCTCGTTGAGGGAGTTATAGCCCTTCATATTGCCAGGGATCTGAAATTTATCAATAATATGTTTGCTTAATAATTTGATTAAAGGAACTACACAATTATGATTATTATTAAATAAAACCAAAATAATGAAAATTCAAGCAGTAAGAAATGTATGTGCAGCAAAATTGTATTTGGTCTTCATTTGGGTAAAATATTTTTTGGCTAGAATGTGTCAGACACTTTTTTGACATGCAGAGTTTCAGTTGCAGGAAAGCTGTGTATGTGGCGAGCGTTTGGGGTTGGGAGCTAAGGGGGAGTTTAGTGCCCAAGCATCAGGTTCTTCCTGTGTATGAATTAAGAATTTATAAGACCAATTTTAGACATGGTATTTTATTGAATTGTAGGATTTTCTCCTCCTCATGTCAGTATTATTATTGCCCTAAATTCTAGTCTGACAGAATGAATATAATACACTCTTAGCTTTTCTTAAGATTGTTTTTTTTTCTTTTTATCTAGATTGTTTTTATCCAGATTGTATTTTTCTTCCAATAATGATGTCTGGAACATTTGAATGCTTGATGAAGGCAGATGACTGTATTTGTATATAATTTGATTTTCTGGTGATCAGCTGACCATTATTTACATAAAATACTCCTTAAGTAGCGAGCAAAATTATCATTGGGCTATTGGTTTTATAGAACTGATTATAAATATTAATTATGCATCAGCCTATTATAAATATTGTATGTGTTTTAGCAAAAATTTTATGACATTTTATTTCTCCCTCGAATAATGTTATACTGTATATTGAGAGCCAATGATTCTGAGATGATCGGAGAGACGAAATATCTGTCTTTTTCATCACATCATTTTGTTTATCTAATATTCCCCTCTATAGGTCTAATAGACTTTGTTATGAAGAACAAACAACAATTGCATTTAATCAGAGTTTCAGGAAAAACAAATGATATTGTATTGTGTACTGGGATAAGATCTGGCCATCTACGAAAGTTTTCCGAGTTTCTGTGGAAATTCCGACTATACATGAATAATTTACGAAGAAGAACGTTGTGCAAGCGATGGAGAAGAAAAAAACGTTTAGATTTTCTCTCTATAGAGATGTAACCGGCTGTCAGCTCTCGTCCCCTCGACAATGTATTTCAATTCATGCGTGTCATTTACACAATGGATTGTACATTAGCTAGGCTCATTGACTGAATGACTTTTCCAATTTCGAGATTTCAGGCCTCGGTGGTAATATATAGCTGCAGTTGAAGAAATTGAAGCACAGAAGAAATTTGGAGGATATTTCGTATTGACGTTTCTGATTGAAAAAACTTACGCACTTGCGATAAAATATTTATCCAGATAGATGGTTGTAGTATTATGTGGTCAGTTTTGTCAGAAAGCGAGCCGTTTTGTATGCCAGATTAATGTCTTCCAAGGGACAAAATAGAATCAGGAATAGATTGGCTTTTCGTATAATATTACTTTCAACTGAAAATCAGACAAGATTTGAAGTTTCATATAAATAAGAAACCTACATCTAATCTACTCGGCACTAAACTATTGAAATTCTTTTCCTCTGTTATCATCGTGAACTGTTTTTATTTAATATATCAGAAGTATGTAATATATTAGAGTCTGACTCTACAGTTTTATTTTGTAAAAAAAGTTTTGATAATCAAAATTCCAAATAAGGAATTCGAGTGGTTTTGTGAAATGAACAATGTCCTACTGTCCCTCAATAGTTAAAGGGATATAAATATCAATCTTGAAGATCCTTAGTAACATTCACAGACATGGTCAAACTGCTTGTAATTTGAGACTGAGGCTTTGCATTCGGAACTCCTTGCTGATTATTCATAATCATCCAGGTAGTAATAGGGATTGAAGAAGACATTTAATTCAGATGTAAAAAAAGAGCGAGTAATCTTGGTATAATGATTAATGAATGTATTTATTTGACAACCAAAAGAAAATAAGAGTCAAATTTCAATAAAGTTATGATAGAAAAAAATAAGTCAGACAATCGGAGTCAAATGAAAGTCATCATTTACAAATCCTAGCATTCAATTACTCTCTGTTTACTTGTGTTGGTTTGATCGAATTCTGTATCTGTTTCTGTGTATTTATACTTATGTGAGGCGTCTGTGACCACTTGCCCCTCATTATAGCTACGGGTTCGAATCCCGACTTGGGCTTTGCATTCTTTCATGTGAGGAAGCTATTCAGCTTTAAACTTTCAGAATGTCACAGTGGTTCACCTCAGGTACCCGTTCCTGCCTGAAATAATGCACAGAAGAGCACCTGAGGTCATCCTCCACCAGTAGAGCTGGAACGTCACCATATGACCTATAATGTCTAGGTGTGACATAAAATCTAATCAAACAAACAAACAAATACTTATGTGTTCCAGGTCCTTATCCAAAGATTTACAGACAGACCCGAAAAGATGCAACTGACTGACCTTGCTGCACAAGTCAATATAATGATAAGAATTGCTGCAATTTAATGTTTCTTTATGAAAATACAAATATCAACAATATTGCTAATATTTTGTTTGTCAACTGAAAAATTAAATGAGACTTAAAGGTACTTAGGTGTTGAATTATAAATATAATCAATGCTGTATAAATTACACTCGACCATGAAATTTGATCATTACTGGACCTTTAAAGCTTATAGCTCTGTTACTAATGAAATATATTGATTTTCAGACACTGCACAATTTCTATATAATTACGGAAAAAAATAGAATTTACAAGTAACAAACTAGACTTTTATGACCAAAATATCAAAATGTCAATAGACATTCGGGAATGAATTGTGGGCAAATTGATAAATAAATCATTTTTAAAAAGGAATAAAAATGGAAAGAAACGTCATTTGACGTTCATAGTAGAAAATGTCTTGTCTTTCTTGTCTTATTATAATGGTGAATTATGCTCTGCGTTGTCATTATGATAAATGATGTCCTTTAATATAGAGTAATATCAAGTAACGGATTGTGCTTCAATAAAATCTCCCATTCTCTCCTTTTTTTCCTGGAGAGAGCTATAATTTTACTTTACATATACATATATTCAATTTCCTTAATAGCTACGCTGCTCGAATTAGTCAGGCGAAAGTCTGAGAAAGCAGCTAATAACTAAAGTAGCTGTCATCATTTTCGTTGCCATAGCAACCAGGTAAATTTTCATTTATATGGATAAGCTAAGCAGCAATTTATTTTCCTATATGCGCGTGGCGTGAAAAAATTAATACACCATTTTAATCTAAATTGCGTTACATGGTATCGGCAAATTTTCTAATTTGAAATTTTTTGTGTCGTCATTGGCAACAGACGAATTATTAATTATGTATCAAAGAAGATAAATACATACATGGATCACTCTAAAGGCAAGCTTTTTGCCTTCAAGCATTGATAAAGTCATCAGTGATGTAGCCTTTTGCAAGAAATAATTTTGTATTTAGTAATTCGAAATAAATCCCCTGACAATTTGTTAATTTTGTGTTTCTTTTACGAAATAGATTAAAAGACAACTCGGTAATTTCTGCTGGGAAGCAGATATTAGGTTGTAGTTTTTGCACATGATTATATAGGAAATACTTCATGCGTGTTTGCTTGACAGTTTTCCCTGCTCAATAAATATCATTCCACTTTACGTCACTTTGATACAAATGTCAAAAGTCGTAGGTGTATTAGAAAAAGTGCATTTTTTTTAACCGACAAGGTGTTAAAACCTTCAAAAAGTCTTCATCCCCATCAGTGAGACAAATAATTTATTCTATTAAAATGTATGCATTATATAATGCTAATATAAATAAGTAAGTTGTTTATGAATATTGATTTTGAGGTTTTACGTTTTAACAAATTTTCCTTCCGTGAGTTGAACAAAAACATGCCACTAAAATCGTGTGTATTCATTTGAAAATAGACAATATATATTCTATAAATAGATACGAAGTAAATAAGTTAATCACAGTCGATCATAAGAAGAGAATGAAAGGGCTTTTAAGAAATCGTCTATGAACTTTGTTATATTTTTTGTAAGAGAAATGGACAATGGCTGCTAGTGACATCTATCAGATTGCTGTCCTTTGTTAAAACGAGAACTAATTAAGGGAAGAAATGTGAAAGAAACACATTAAAATCCATAAAAGGAGAGGAAAATCCCTTGAGCAGAAGTCTCAGATGTTTCTGCAAGTTAAGTCTCTGCAGAAAAAAGAAGAAAAAAGATGGTTAGAAATGAAAAAAGCATCTGGCGACCTCACTAAAAGCCATTTTAATGCTTCTAATGAATGTTTTATTTAGATTAATGACTCATTAAATTGTTGGTTTAATTGCCTGTACTGGTGGTACTGGTCATAGAAAGTGTTTGTAGCAGGAGAGAAGTTTTGATATATTTTTCAATTTTGTGGATCTTTTTCATTTAGTTTTATTAGGCAAAGTGTGTAATAACATCACTTGCCTCACCACCGCCTTTGTTATAGAAGATTTAGCTCAAAATTAATGAGGTTTAGAAAATGAAATTTAAGAAAGAAAAATTGGGGAAATTGATTTGATTATCTTTTTGTCGTTTCTTTTAAATGCTAGAATCTTCAAGGATGGAAAAAAAAGAGAGATAAATTTAACTTTGTAATAGATGTCACATGTATAATCTGAACCATTTCAAGTAGTCATGTGACTAAGTTACTATCGTAGTTGTTGCTTTTAGAGTCATTTTGTTCAGTGAAATAGCATTTAACAGTCTTAGTCTTTCATCTACCCTCAGGGACTGCAATGGCTCCTCATTCAGTCAGCTAACTGAAGATTGTTCCCACTAAGACGCTCATTCATGCCAGAAATAATACACTTGCTACAATCCATGAGGTCTTTATTTAAATAGATCACCAGTAAAAAGTGGCTAGTTGGATATTTGTGGTGACTTAATTGATAACAAAATAATACTAAGAAAATCATCACCTAAATGCAATAACTGTTTAACTCTTATTAAATTTAGAAGGACTTAACACATTACTGCACTAATAATTCAGACAATTATAAAGAATAATGTTAAAAAATTATATACATATAATAAATATTAAACAAACTTACAGCTGATTGTATTCCAGCCAGGTTTCCATTAAAGTCATAAATTGGCATAACTTTTGTGTTTCCATTCTTTGAAAACAAAAATCCATGGTAGTTGTCAGCTGAAAAACAAAAAAGAATGTATTGTTTTTTTTTAAATCATGGAGTAATTTTGCAAATCATTGTGATCTGCTAAATGATAAATTTCCATATTTGAAATTTGATGTTTTTTTAATTGAAATTTTACAGCAGTTTCTCCTAGCATTTCATGTCTGTTATTTGAATTATATCCTTTTATGAAAGTTTATTTTTATTACCATTTTTTTTCTTCATTTATTTTTCTATAGGAGGAAGATCATTATATTAAGGGGCCTTTCAAATCATGTAAATGTGTCTCATTTGCAAGTGTTTGTATCTCCTGGGAAAATATGCAAGTTAACTTGGCATTGTCCTTGTGCCGAGATGACCTCTGAGTGTCACACTATATTGTCCAGTACAGCTCAGATTTCATGCTTATTTGAACAGATACCATCACAAATATCGCATCATTCGGGAAAATCTGTCCAACGAGCAGAATAGTTGTATCTTCTTCCTTCATTACATTTGAATTGTGATCATTTACCACCTAGCTTTCGTGTGTTCTTCACCTCTTATCCTTGTGCCATATGGCCTTTTCATGGGCACCGCGGCAACAAATTCACATTAATTTATTCGTCCTCTGTTTAATTCTATTAAAGGCATTATAGTGATGATAAATATGACAGATATTTACGTCCGCATGTGTCGAAAAATTAGACACCTAAGTGTGAAGTTCATCTCAAATCTTTTCTTCACTTCAAAAGTTCATTATCATTCGTTATTCTGCCAGTCTTATTAAAGAATAGCTTATTTTTTAATTAATTTTAATTTTCTATGACTTTAGAGAGAATAATGAACGGTTTTAAAGAGACGGCCAGAAGGTGGAATGGGTGGTGTAATCAAATAATGTTCATTTTTGGCACGTTTTTGTGTAAAGATGCCGTCAAAAATTTATGACACAGCCTCAGTGTTTTAATCAGTTTGCATCATACTTTTCTTCCATTTTGTTTTTTCCTTTCTTGGGAGCAAAAATTATAGTATGAAAAATCTTTATTATTTCTGGTTTAATGCTGTAGAATAACAATCACATATTCACACTGTATCAATTTGTAAAGGAAACATAAAGAGAAAAGAAAAAAAATCATCGTAATGTTCTAGACATGTAAAAACTATTGGACAACATTTTCTCCTGATTTGTCATTTTTGTTGTGAGAGAGCCGACTAGCTAATAAAATCTTGAGAGCTCCTTTTGTTTGTAATACTATATTCGTACATGTGGTATCATGGCTACGTTTATATGGCAACGTTATAATGGGAAGAATGTGTTGTTTTTCCGCAGTATTTTGCAGCAAAATTAATTTTGATCTCAGACGTGCACCAGAGACCGTCTGTACGTCTTCCTTCTGCTCTGCTAGAATGTCAGATTAATTATTTTTACAACATTTGATCTCTATTGTTTCATACAGTCTTCAATGATTCTGCGCCATTTTACGAAGCCCTAACAACGCTGCGATGCGAGAATTATGACTGTATTGAGGAGGGTTCTTGTACGACACATTAATATAAGGAATTGTTGATGTGTTCCTCATTTAAAAGATATTGTTAAAGAGGAGAAAAAAAATTTGCAAAGTGATTTTGTATTATGTATAATTATGATTTCAAATTAGTACAATATAAGATATACTGAAATATTTGAAAGGCTAGTTAGGTAGGGGAAGTGAAGGGAGGGGTCGTAGGTATATAGACATACTCATTGTTTCAACACAGAGGGTGCTTTAACCAAATGTATTTTCATCCTACCTTGAATTGTATAAGTTATAGGGACTGAGATATTGAAGTGTTGAAATAAAACAGCAAATACATAATCAGTCATAATTATTGTAAGCTTGACACAGTGACTGTATTTAACTCCAGTAGAAAAATAAATGAAACTTCCTTTTTTTGCTTTTAATTTCAGTATTTAAAGTAAATAACTTGCCAAATACTTGCAGTCAGGCTCTGTCTTCAAAATGAAATTATGAATCTGTTGATTTTTCTATAATTTAAATTATATATACATCATTTAAATAAATCAGATTGTACAGGGAAATTCATGTTGAAAAGCCATTTAATACAGAAATATACTTAAAAATATTAAAACCCCAGTAGATGAAGAGCTGATTGTATACATTATTGCAAACTCTTGCAATAATGGTGTACTTAAATGTTATATGTGCGCCACAAAAATTATCATAAAACGTAATTAGATCAGAAAGCTGCATAACAATCCAAATATTTATGTGTACCCTTTATTAAGCATACTAAACTGTATATATAATATAGGCACTGCAGAATGCAATAAAACTTCCAGGCTAATAAATGTAAAAGAAATTGATAAATTCATGGCACGTGGCTTTGAGCTTACAGCACGAGAGAGTCGAGAAATATTGATGTTTGATAGAGTGACAATTATATTGTCGTTTTTTTGCCTCGCAGATATAGAAAACAGCTGCTTCATCTAATATTTTCACCTAAATTTCCCCTATATTAATGTAATAACACAAATCCCTTGTGTCAACCCATACTCTTGCCTGTAATTATGGTGCCTTTAGGCTAATTTTGGTTTCTTTGGACACATTTTGTTCATGTTTCAGTTTTTTCTCATTGAAAACATTAGCTGGATTCAAACAAAATGATTGTGAATCTGTTTAAATAATACTCTTTATGCAGCCAGCAGCCATGTTTTATTTATTTTAGATTTCTTGCCTTTGGTTTTAACATGTCAGGCATGGTTACAGCATAAGTTTGATTCATATTTTAGGTATGATGTTTATAAGATAGTCCAGTGTTCCAACATTTAAAGGTTTTTATGTTTATTGGTTTGAAATATTTTTAATAGGGTTAATATAATTCATTTGAGCAATTCAAGATGTTATATAAGGTTATATAAGGTTGACAAAATTAATTCACCCAGTCAATCATATCAGTACATTACTTAACCTAACCAGTTTTTTTTTTTTACAAATGTAGCCCAACTATTTGAAGTATAGGAAGAGCTATTGTATTCACAAGAGCTAAAAAATGGGCCTCTGCGTCACATTTTGGTAAAGTTTTTGCCTACAAGCTGGTATCTCCAAAACTACTGAAGGGAATGGCACAGTTATTTGAGATCATAATAGAAGGTCAATAGCCAAGGCCCATAACTCTTCCATGGATTTGACAAAATTATGGCCCTTTTTGAAGTTAGAAAAGTCTGCATTATCCTGGCTGTTATTTTACTGTCAGGCACTGAGAATAGTCAAGCATACAAATATAATGTTAAACTGTTTCTAGTGAATATATAACTGAAGGAAGCATGGGCCTAGTAGACCTTTGAAAAATTCTATTAAATAGTGCTCTGAGACTGTTATAATGCCAGTTTTTAGATTCATACTTAAACATTGGCCATAAGAAATTTTACTCATACATATACATGTATAGTTAATGTGCAGTTTAATATGTACCATATAACACCATCCATTTAATAAAATAGTAATGTCATAGATTAAACAATCATTAAGTGGGGTTTAAACTTGGCTCATATATCCTGATTTAATGTATGCACTCAATGTAGGCACTACAGTTTGTTCAGTACTAAAATTGATGAAATATAGATGAAAACAATTTTCAGCTTGTTTCTTTTAAAGTTCTTTGTTTAGGTATGAATCTTGCTTTATGTTATATATTGTTATAATTAACAATGTTTTCTATTTATTTTATATTTTCAGGTAAGTGTGATTTTGCTGTATTTAAGCCAAACAAGAATGTGGTGTGACACAGTGTCATGGTGTGGAAAAAATATAACAATTTTATAGTAAGGCACATAATACATGGCTTGGTGTGATGCATATTTAAATTGAAAGTTAACTTAAGATAAGATTCTCACAAGGGACAGGACACATGTGTAGGTCATATGTTTTTAAAGAGGTGTTCACAAAGGAAAGAGGTTTTCACAAAGAAAATATCAGGTGTTCATAAATATTGGTAAAGTGTTCATAATGAAAAAATAAGGTGTTCTCAAAGATAAAATAAGTTGTTCACAGAGACAGGACTTGGTGTTCACAAAGAGAATATAAGGTGTTCACAAATATAAGTAAAGGTCAGATTCATATGAGGTGTTTACAAAGAGAAGATCTTTCCTTCATGAGGTGAGAAGGAGGTGTTCATAAAGTACAGATTATGTGTTCTCAAGGAAAAGATGTCTACAAGTTTAGATAAGAAATGTTTAAGTTCAGATAAAATGTTAGTAAAAACAAAAAATAATGCATCCACATAGTAAAGAGGTATTAACAAACAAAATACATGTTTAAGGTGTTCACATTATAAAAAGGTGTTCTGAAGAAGACAGTCAGTTCTTCATAAGGTAAAAAGGTGCCAACAGAAGTTAAGAGAAAAGCATTGATCTTCAATGATTCAGTTTTAACAGGATACACTTGATTTTTGATTGGTCATTCTCCAAATCGTTTTCTTTCTCACAATATTTTAATCAATTTGTAAATGATACAGCTCCCTATAAATCTACCAGTCTGGCAAGAAAATTAATTTTCTGCAAATTTATCGTGCATCTTTTTTTTGATGTTATAAGATGCCTTTATTTTCACAAAGATTTATTTCCGCTGTATTATTGGACACTGTCATACTATCACCTGAGTACTCGAATCCCTTTGATCTCAAACTTAAAATCTTTTGATCTCAAAGTGTCTGATCTTGAATGACATAACAGAATTCAATAACAAAAAATCTGAGTCGATTCAGTCCCTTAGTAGCCACAGACGTCTAATTGACGTGTAGTGGGGTCGGGTTACGGGACCAAATGTGTACTCTCACAATAGCATGTGCAGTTGTCTGTTAAATACTAGTAATTATTGAAAGGTACTTGAGTGGATGACAAATTTGTTTTGTCACATGGGCTGGTTTTTATGCATATTTAAAATCACCACATTATCCCTGTGATCTCTATATCACAGAAGAAAAAACAAAACAAAACGAGGGATATACATTTCCAAGGTTTTTTTTAAAATTGGAT